GAGAGCATTAAGGCTTAACCGGAAAAACGGCTTCTACTGTACTATTTTAGATGCGATTTTTTGTTTTTATCTGCATTTTAGTAGGGTATACCATGGGAATGCACACTAAGAACGGATTTTTCGAAATTCCCCTGCGGGGGGAGATGGAGGGGATTAAGGCTTAACCTGAAAAACGGCTTCTACTGTACTATTTTAGATGCGATTTTTTGTTATGTTTAGTCTTCATTAAGTACTTAAGTGTATTAAATTAATAACATTTCAGACATTGTTATAAATATTTTTATATATTTCGATTTTTTAACCAAATATTCGAACCTTTTTAAATTATAGAACGATTGTAAACGTTCCAGAAAATTGACCAAATTCAAAATAGTTTGTTTGATTCTCAGCAATTCTTATCATTCTCGGTGGTAGGTGTTATATAACAATTACTATGATTGTTGAAATACTGAATATAAATGGGGTTTGCTTGCAAAACCTCCGCGGGCGAAGTCGCGGGTAACAGCTAGTATAATATATTTAAATAGATGCTTTTATTGAAAAAAGAATAGAAAACATGTTTGTAACAAAAAATTTATAACAGCATAATTTCTTATACAGCTCTCCCTTGATAGTTCAACGTTTTTTAATCCGACATGCTCAGTAGTCTGACGCACCTCCTGTCAAGGGACCTGTCCCTGTTACGTGTCTGCTTGCACAGAAGCATGTCACGACATGAATCTTCCCATCCAATTCTTACACGATGACACATTTCGTGTGTTTTCTGCGAGCAATTCTGTTCGAACAGTTGGAGTAGGGAATATTGTAAGCTACTGCTAGCAAAACAATGCAAAATATGTAATTATTTTCAGTAATCCTGACACTTTTGGTAATCCAACACCCCTTTGGTCCCATACCTGTCGGACTATTAAGGGAGAGCTGTACTAGTTTTTATTTTATTCAAGTACAATAGAACCACCAATCTATAGGCTTCCCTTCTCTTAACTAAATGATGTAGCTTAATTTGATATTAGTCAATTCATTATAGTATTGTTAATAGCAAGATTGACAAGTTGGCAATAAAAGAAACAAAAAACTAATAATAACTTAGTTGTTTTTATTGTTTTGACATGTTCAAATTACTTTATAAAATTATAATGTAATCTCTTAGTTTTAATATAGCATATTTATATGATGATATTTACTGAATAGTTGTATTATGATAATTAATTTTGATTATAATTGAGTAATTCACTCAAAATTACATATGTACTGTACTATACATATGTATAGTCTGTTCCATTCAGATCTGTGACATACTGCTATAATCTCAAAGGAAGTATTTACAATTTATACACAATTACAAATTACACTTTGAAGTTCTTGACTTTGAATCCTGTGGTCAGAATCCACATCAGATGAGTCTCTCTGACTCAACCTGTCTCTCAGGCTTCTCAAGATCTCATTCCTTTCTCAGAACTTCCTTAGTGGAATGACTGAGAAGAGTCCTTGACTCAATTTGTCTCCTTAATAAATTGAGATTTCACACACTCTTTGGCTACAATCTCCAATCTTTTTGCTTCTTTGCCTTTTGTTGAACCACTGACCACAGGATGAAGTAATTAAAGTCCTTGACAAATGATGTCAGTCAAAGAATTACTGTTCCAGAGTCAAATGCCACTGGCTACTATAAAAAAGAAAAATCAAATGTAACTGTGTTAACATATATCTATTATAGTTTAAAGATAAAAAAAGAAAATTAAAATCTGTTCAAAATAGAAACCAGCCAAAATGGAAAAAATATTCAGTACTATGTGATTCTGGTTTACACAAGTTTTACTATATTAAATTCCAAAGTTATTTTAAACTTAAATCGTTGAGTTTTCTACATAACTCAGAATTTGATCTGAGCTGCTTTATTACATCATTGCTTTGTAAAAGGTAATAGCATTTGTAATTCATAAAACTTAAATACATGGAGTTACAAAAAATGAATATTTTGTATAATATCAAATATGTTTAATGTCAGACTTGAAGATCACATTTGATATAAATATATTTGCAATGATACTTTATTTGTGATTGATAGAAAAGTTATGTTGATAATAGCTGTTTCTTTTCCTTGGAATCATTTCAATCATTGGTGTGAAGTACTATATTTGGCTATGTAATCACTCGTAAGAAGTATTATAACATATTGATGGCAATTCTTTTAAATACAATATTAACATTGTAAATATAAATGCTATTTGGGACTGATCTTTAATTTATCTCTTGAAATAAGGACATTTTAATTTCAAAGCAGAATATATCATTTATGAATTTTCATATTTCAGTTAATAAAAACTATTATTTTAAATTATTCAAAAGTTTTGTTTATACTAAAATATGTATTATAGAATTAACTGTACTGTTTATCAAAAATTCAATTGTGGATATTTATTTGTAGAAAATGGAATCTCTCAACATTCTGAAAAATTAGACAGAAATAAACCAATCTTGATTACAGAAACATCTCAAGATACAAGCAAAATGAAAGTTGGAGATTACAGAAGAGAAGATACAAATAAAGAAAAAAAGAAGGTAGTGTATAATTATTTAGATTACTATTTCAGCTATATTTTATGAATATATTATATTCAATTTCGAATTTAATACTTTGATCAATATTATCTAATTACTATATTAAAATAATTCTTCAATTTTAATTTTATGTATATCATATATAACAGGAGAAAATATTTGAATTGAAGTAACGTGACTTCCTGCCAAAACAGGAAGTTCGTATATAGTTAATCGGAGCTTCCTGTCCCTATATCCGATCTCGAAACTAAAGGACGATAGATAGACAGACTGACGCCAGGGATAATTTATAGGTCTATAGTTATTGAAAATTGTAGCCTAAGAAATAAAATTCACATTGCAATAATGAGTCCAAAAATGTAAAAATCTCGGGTGGGTTATGTTTTGACCGAACTCCACACTTTCCTTCTGTTGTATATAACAGAGCCGGAAAAGTACACACACTCCATATTTATAATTGTATATAAAAATTGCCAGATTGTAAAAACAGTCGTTATCAAATCGCCAACTGGCTTGAAATCTCACCAGACGTAACAAAATTATTTGCATGTTTCTAGTCCTTCGCTAAAAAGTGTCAGGTTTGCGGAGTTTTTTTTTTATTTTCCCTGCTGTTATGTATACATAACAAAGGAAAGTAATGGAATCGTGTGAAATTGAACCTCCGACTTCTTTCCAAATCTCCATGAATTCATAAAAGTAAAAAAAAAAAATTCCATGGGTGTGTGTGTTGGCGTCTATTTCGTTTATTATCTCAGGATGGGGTAAAGATTAAGAAACGAAGTTTGGCATTGTATATGAGGGACGTTGATGCTATTAAATTTTGATGGTTAAAGGCCGAGGGTGTGAGAAGATGCAGGGAGGGCACACGTCCTATCTCGGATGGGATCGGACTTAAAATTTTAATCGTTGTTGGCATTAACAATACTCTTAAAATTATGCCTTTTGTCATTTATAATTCATAATATGAAATTTTTTAAAACTTTTATAACACTTGGTGCCTCGCACAGTTTTATTTATTAAAATTAATAATATAAATGTTATATTTTAAAATAATGAATTTCTTAATAATGNTGATTTGAAAAGATTATATTATGTTGTTTACATTAATATCTATGTTATTTAAATGGATCCTACTGAGTTTCATTGTAAACAGCATTGTTTAATGTGTGTATAGTTGGTTCAATAGAATCTTTAGTTTGTGTAAATTCCATTTGTTGTGTCAGACAGACCCATGATGACATGCAACATATAGATTGCTACATTCTTTAGCCAGTTTACTAGTGCTGTTATCGTTGATAACATGATGAGCATATAGCAGCCAGAGAAAGATGGTTTCCACCATTTGTAAACTGTCCAAGACTGACCGGTAGGCCGTAATTCAGTTTTTGAGTGCAAAAGGCTGCCAGCCTGCTGAAATTCATTGCTGAATGCAAGTCATGTATTGTTCAAAGATGATGATAACAATTTGGAGCAGAGAATTCTGGAATGGCAGACAATCAACAGCAGATAAGCCAAGTCTGGACTAGCAACAACAGTCAAATAGGGCATGAATTTTGCAGCAGTCAAAGAACTGAATGTGAGAAAACTATTGTAAGTGTTAAGTTCATTGCAATGTAATTAGGTATCAGCATTGGGTCAGCTCACTCCATTGTTCATGATCTCATATTAAAGAAAATTTGCTTGCAGTGGGTTCCACAAGAATTGAGTTTGGAACAAAAGGCAATATGGATGGGTTTGTTGATAAAACATCTGCAATATTACCACCACAAAAGAAATGAATATCTGTGCAGAATTGTATTCAGTGATGAAACATGATGTTGACATTATGACCTGGAATCTCAATGATTTAGCTTACAGTGGAGACACCTGGAGTCACCTTGGCCCAAAAAAAGAGGAAAGTCAACAGTCACCCAAGAAAGTTATTATGATGTTTTTTTTTATCATGAAGAATCATTACTAGTGGAATTTTATCAGCCAGACGTAATCATTAACTCCAAATGATACACTGGAACACTTGATTACCTGTGCATAGCTTTAGGAACAGATAGTCTGGTAAATTGTCATGTAATCATTCTTCTTTCTTCACAATAATGTCTGCCCTTACAGCAAGCATTATTAAGATCAAACTGGAAAACATGCATTGGGAGCAGCTTGATCATCCTCTGTATAGCTTGATGAATCAGAGATTTGTGCCTTAATGCTGGTGAAGTTAATGTGTGACTGGCATCAATATAGACAAAAGTTTTTAAAGACAATGAGTTCCTATTGAACTACCCACATATATATTGAAACTATATTCAATATTATATCTACTTTGCAAAATTGGACATTTTTTTTTATTTTTAGCTACATGAATTTTTTACAAAATTCTAGAAGAAAATCCAGTATATTAAAAATTTGATGTTATTGTCCCACCTTTCATTTGCTTATTTGGAATGGATTCAATATTGGTTAAATGAATTCATTCCAAATAACAGATAATGTTTCTGAAATGTGGGAATGCTATATGAAATTCAGAGCTGTTTTGATATTGTATAAAATATCAGTACAGTGGGTAATTCATTAATGAACAGTTCAGACTGTAAACAAATTGGACAACAAACACTTTTGTGAAAGATTTCTATGTTCTGACAACAAACACCTCACAGAACAAACACAAGAAGAAGCAATGTAAAGTAATGAATACCAATTGGTCTTCTCTTGTCTCCAGGTGACCATTCAAAACCTTTTGGAGCACAGGAGACATTGACATTAATGCTCAATCCGATACCAAATGAATAGTATTTCTCCAAACTGAAACTCTCTTTTGTAATTTCAGCCTTTTGTTTACATTTCTGACAGTAAGAATTTTTTATAGTCTTCACGAGACTGTCAGGCACTTGTTGAGTTTTGCATTAATTTTTATTTTCCAAAGGTGAGAGTTTAACTGTCCCATCAGATATTTGTTAACATTTTAACACCAAATTTCAAATTTCATCCAGGCCTCATATTTACATAATTTTGTGTGCTAGTTGATTTCTGTTCTCTGAATTTTTTGTAAGTGCTTCTCTGAACTTTTTATTTAAAAAAGAAACTGATAATATTGTGGAGCCTAAAAAGAGTGGAGTGTCAAGAACTGTGTTCACCATAGAAACCAAGCAAGAGATAATAGCCAAGGTAGAGAATGGGCAGAAGATGTCTGATGTTACTAGACAATATGGCTTGAACAGGTTTACAATAGACACAATCTTAGCTAAGAAAGATATAATCAAGAACACTCAATCACCTAAAGGAGTAACGAAAATCACATCTGAGAAACAAAGATGTGTCATCCATGGAAAAATGGAGAAATTGCCTTTAATTTGGATAAAAGAAAATAAAATGAAAAGAGATGTAACTATATGACTATCATTCAAGAGAAAGCTAGAGAAATTTTTGGAGAACTGAAGAAACAAACTCCACATTCGTCACATGAGAAGATAGAATTCAAGGTGTTTTGAAGCATTCCAGTTCTCTTCAATGATGACATTAAAAAAGTTTTGGAAAGAAAAATTTGATATTCTTGAAGTTAACTGGCTCATTCAAAAGGTATTGTCAAAAGTCACCCAATGAAAGTTGAATTCTGCTTGGTGAAAGCTGTGTCCCTCCTCCATTCAGGGAGACAGAGATGATGTCCCAGAAATTATAGATGAAATTGTGACAACTGTTAGAGAACTCAAATTGGAGATGAATGAAGATGACATTGAATAGTTAAATAATGGAACTTGAAACTGATCTCATGACAGAAGAACACCAAGAATCTCAGCAAGATGTGTTTTATTCTGAAAAAGAAGATGAAAGAAGACTAATGCCATCATCTGCTATTAAAGATCTTTTGAAGAAGTGGGAGGATGTCAGAATAATGGTCTTAGAATGGCATCCAGACTAGGTTCAGGGTAATATAGCTAATAGTAATAGGCTTCGGGATCTCTACAATGACAATGCTATTAATTACTTCTGAAAAATCCTGAAGAGAGAAAAGCAATCAACATTGGACAGATTCTTTAACACCCCACAAATGAGGAAAAAAACATGACTGATAAAAATGCAAGACTGTGTATGTATATACAGTGGAACCTCAGTATACGACCTTAATCAGTTCCTGATGTTTGGACTTATACCGAACAGGATGTATACCAAACCAACCTTTCCCATAAGAAGTAATGTAAAAACGATTAATCCATTCTTATGTAAAAAAAAATGGCTGGCTTTAAATACCTTGCTTTCCTGGCTAGTTCCTGCATGATTTTTCATGAGATCAGCATGTATCTTTTTAGCTTTCTCGCAAATAATTGCTTCTGATATGCTGTCACTAGCACACTGTTTTTCAGTTATCCAAAGCAAAAGCAATTTCTCTAATGTTCATGATCTAATGTTTAGAAATTGATTTAACCCCTTTTGAAACGTTAGCAGATTTAATAATGTCTATTTTTTACAAATGCCAATATTGTCATTCATGGAATACGGTATGCAGCAGTTAAATCTTGAACACGCGTGCCACCTTCATATTTCTCAACAATCTCTCTTTTTTAATTCCGTTGTTATTCTAGTCAGTTTTTTATTTTTCTGTTGCTTTTCATTTGCCATTTTGCAATTCATGATTAATAAAAATAATAAAATTGTACTTACAAATTAAAATCAGAAGAAATTTAACAAAGTTATAAACCATGGCACCACGAATGTCTAGTCTGGTCTAGTAAACCGATAGTACTACTTGTTCATAGATGGTGTGTATAATTGAATTAAGTTGTATACTGAGCAAAATTTGTTTCGTCCAAACAAGACGTATTCCGAATTGGACGTATTTTAAAGCAGACGTATACCAAGGTACCACTGTATTATTATTAAAAATAAATAAATGTGATAAGAAAGTATACAATTTTTTACTTATTTTTTGGGGTCTCCAGAATGAATTAATCAAATTCCCATAAAAATTTATAGTAAATCTGTTAATGAACAATTCAGGTAGTGAACATGATCTTGAAATGGATTATGTTCATTAACTGATCGTCTACTCTATGTTCAAAGTATAACTGTCTTATCATATTTACTTTTGGGAAAAAATGTTAGTATGCATTCTATACTATTTTTATATGTTAATCTTTGGTTTATTGCTAATAATTTTAGGTAATATATGCTTGTAATTGTAGAACCATTGATACTGATATAAACAAAACTTTGACTCTAAAGAGAATAACATTTTGTTATTCTCTTTATTATAAAATGTATTTCCATATGTAAAATTTTTTCACACCATTTACTTACTTTCCAAATCTATACTGAGTTATATTTGCTGCCTATTCATTCATAATGTTATCTCTGAAATATTGAATTTGTATAATTGTGATTTGTTAGAAAAATTTCAATTGTATTGTTTTAGTTAATTTATCACTAACTGTTCTTATTAATTTTTAATAATTTTTCTTATTGATAAAGTTATTTGCAATGGCAATAAGCAAAAATAAATATGATCTTGATTATTATGTCAAGTATCATGAATTGCATTTGCAATAATAATTTAAAATGCATTTTCAACAGTTTCTTCTAAAAGGAAAGTAGAAATTGCAAACTGCATTTATAATTAATAAAAATTCAGTTAAATAATTGAAATAACTATTACTAATTATTAAATTTTATTGTTTAGACACTTCCTTCTCCTCTTGGATTATCGCCTCTTAAAACAGTGCCAACAACAGTTTCCTCATCACAAGTAACAGAAAGTTCTCTCTCACCTAAATCTCCTAATCAAAACATTAGTTCTCCATCACCATCTCAGACTTTTGTGTTAGCACCCACTCCTGCACAGTTAGGTTGTGCTCCTGGGCAACAAAGACAATCTCAAGGAAGAATATCTACTGAATCAAAAACTGAACAAATATCTGAAAAACAGGGAGGAGAGCAGTCATCTCAAAATTCTTTACAAAAGGAGTTAACAAGGAAAACACTTTTTAAAAGAAATGATGATGGAATGAATAAGTAAGTATAATATGAATTTTATGTATGTATGTATGTATAGGTATTTAAGTTTTATAAGAAATATACATTTTAAGTCATTTTTTGACAAGACTATGTCTTGTTTATAAAATTGTACTGCTCGATTTTCTTACCAGCATAGAGGTATGAAGGAGTACATGTTGAGAGTTAATATTTGGCACAGAGTATTAGGTGCCCAAATCATTTGCGCATAAAAAAATCCAGACTTGTAGGTAGTCGGGACTGAGAATCAAGTCAAAATAAAATACAAAATGGCAACCCTCTTCTACAAACAGTCAAAACAGCCACCTCACCCCACCGAAGTCAGGTAGGGGAGAGTACCACCCACAGTCATTCCAAGAAGTAAACTCTGACCTTAGTAATGAACACATAAATACAAATAAAATACAAATAAAATTTTTAATCTAATTTTGTAAATTTGGGAGTGATTCAAATATGACATGAAAACGGTTTTATATCGTTACAAGTGGTTTTTTTAACATTATCTAGTATAGTAAAATCGTGGGACCGATAAAAATTTCATGTGTAGGGCAGAGGGCACCACCACATGACCTTTGCCCTTTGACCTCATTTTGATCCTAAACTCTAACGAGGAGAGACATCTTTTTACTTCATTTAGTTAATCTTTCAATTTGACAGGTTGACAGGTTGAAGACAGAGATGGCCGAACCAATTGGCATAGCCGGAGGAGGAGGGGGTAATAGTGTGAAGAGAGGGGTGGGGTTAGAAGGGTGAGGTGGGGATAAAGGGGATGAAGGGAAAGAGGAATGGGATCCCATGATGTCCGGCATCGGGGCCGTTTATTGAACACAAAATATATACAATAAAGAACACAATTAACACAGGTTACATTAATATCCCGACAAGATTACAAAAACAAATACATAAATTCGCGTGAGGCTCCTAATTCCAGTGCCATGCGGACTGGCTAGAAAGGTACAAAAGCCCTTAAGGGGGTTGAGCGGGTAGGAGAACAGCCGCGCAGGTTAGGCACCAACAACCCAGTACAAACAGGAACCGATGGGGCCGAGGGAACAGAAATTGGCCCAAACCCGCGTTGGGNACAGATTTTAGCCACACTGCTAAAGATGCTATACTAGGGTTGTCATTACATCTGATGACATTACAATTGGGTTAAGCTGTATATTGTTTGTGCAAAATAAAAAAAATAATTTCAGACAATACAATAGCCACAATTATTTTTTTCAAAAACGGGAAATTTTTGTTAGGAATTGACAAAAATTCAACCTGGGCTGACATGCAACAGAAAGAAATTTCTACATAGATAGGTTAATTTCACCAAAAATGCATCGTGGTCGACTTCATGGACATGGCCAGTAAAGTCTGAACGATCGCACTCAAAACCTGTGATGCCGAAGAAGATTTGAGAATGAGAAAGAGACCCGCTTGAACTTCAAAGTGATTCTACGTAGTAGTGAATCTCCGAGACATAGTCTTGTCCCAAATATGGCTTTGCTGTTTTACTTGTTTATTTTAGATTTGTATTTTTATATTAAAATGAATAAAAATTTAGAACTTTGTACTGTATATGCAAGATAGCATTAAAGAATAACTAAGTTTTATTTATTAAGAATATCAATGCAAAGTTTAAACTGATGAAATACAGTCACTAATTTTGTTTTCATTTTATATCTAGTAATGTTTGGTTGGTTGTTACATCTTGAAATATCTGCATTTGAACAAACACTTAATAATAAATCTTTCACAGAAGCTTTTGCAGAATTATAATATTAAAAGAATTGTCTTTAATTATGTCAGTGTTTTTCGAACTTTTTCTACTAATGGTGCCCAACATCAAAATTTTTTTCTTCACAGTATCCCTATTTCTTTATTAATGGAGAGTTACTGCATTTTAATAATGCATGCATGAAGTGTTTTAGCACTGTTCAGCACTATATTTCATGGCAGTGAGGCCTAACAATGGCTAAATGTAAGAAACCACTAAACACTAGGAACCAAAAAATTTTTTGACAATGAATCTCTCTTCTTTAACAGCTTTTGTGACCTGCTCTACTTTCTGAGATGAATTTTGGATCGTCTGTATTTTTAAGTTGTAAAGTTTAAATTGAATCTTATTTTAAAACATTTATTATAATTGATATGTTAGCACGAATAAGAACTTAAAACAGCATTTTCCATTATTAAACGATATCCAATATACAAAAGAATCCTGTACAAAGTTATGTAGTTGTGAACTACCGGGGAGGTCAGGAACCATTGACTCTCCTTTTCAGCTACAGGTCGTTAAACCTGCCCACTTGTCAAGATGGCTAAATTTCGAATGTGGTCCCGAAGGGTCGGGATTCTTTTTTGTCAGGTTGAGTGGAGGAGGTGAGAGGGGTCGTTGACGAGGCGATATGCGAGTAAAAGGACACCATTTAACAATGGAAACAATGATTTATTAGATTTACAAAAAAATAAAGATTACAAAATTCGCTATCTCCTAACTCGCGGAGAGAGAGTTTACAATTATTTGTGTCATACCTCTAGTAGATTTCAATGTAGGCACAGAGTTCGATGCACAAAGTAAAAATTCCTAGAGACTTAATCCTTTCAGGCCATAGATGTGAGACTCCTCCAAGGAAGGGGAAAGAAGTCGCTTTTATAGCTTCGAACAGGGGAAATTGGTCAGGTGATCCCCCTATTGTGAGAGGTAGAGTTGGTCCTGCAGGTGTGGAGGTTAAAGTTGTTCCCAGGACCAAAACAAAATGACAAATTCAGACTTTAACTATAAACTTTTTGTCTTGCAGAAGAGGAATGTCATTGTTTGAGGGTTGAATGTTTATATTAACGATGAAAGTTATAAGTTTCAATCAATATTTGATTCTTTTTTCCCGGCAATGTTATTTTAACGAGGAGGCGACAAATTTATTTCAAATATATCGAAAATTTTAGGGGGGAAAATGAACAATTTTGATAACTTATGGATACAAATTCACTGAGTTCAGCATTAATAAAGTTTCTTTAGTATTAACACAAGCACTTTCGACGAATGTATAATCGTCGTCTTCAGGTGAAAAGAATAAGATTTTAACAAGACAAACGTGCAGGATATTTCAAAGGAACAAAATATTTAAAATTCAAACAGGCGTCCGGAAATTCCGGACGCCTGTTTGAATTTTATAGCTATAGCTGCCAAGTCCACCATTGCTTCCAGCATGAGGGGTACGCCTAAAGATTCCTATACTTTCTACAAATTGGATGTGGTATCCTTATATCCATCGGTACCTGTTTTTGAAGCCGTAATGCTTGCTAACTCCTTGATCATCAAAAAAGGATTCAACATACAACAAGTGCTAGACATACGTGATGCGCTGACATTCATCACTGAGCACAACTATTTCCTTTTTAACAAGAGCATCTACTTGTAGAAACAAGGAGTTCCGATGGGCTCTCCGCTATCTGCAGTCTTGGCCGAGCTCATTATGAGAGAAGTCGAGCGTAGAATTTTCAACTCCCCTCTTACCATCAGTTATCCGTCGCTATACTTACGTTATGTCGACGACATCCTAATAATATGGGAGAATACAGAGGAGGAGTTTATCAAATTTGTGCAGCATCTTTCAAGCATATACCCTACAATCAAGTTCACTTGGGAGAGGGAGCATGAGGATTCAATAGCGTTCCTGGATCTGTGTATACAAAAGTCGGTTGAGGGGCCGCAATTTGCTGTTCACCACAAATCTGA